TCATAAGTCGAGGACTAAACCGTTCGTAAGTCAAGGACTAAACCGGTCGTAAGTCGAGGACTACCCAACCGGTCATAAGTCAAGGACTTTCCCTGCCCGGGAGCGCCACGCATGCGTGGTTCCGCCCCCTGCGCCGGCCGAGGCGTATCTGGCAAGCCGCAGAGACGGAGCAGGCCGACCACCAGCTGGCCCAGCTCAAGGGAGGTAAGGCACCCGCCGGAAAAGGGGGAAAAATGGCGGACAGCCTTGCTTGGTGACCCCCGTGAAATGGTCGATCGACCCCAAATGGGGTCGCGACCCATAGGTTGAGAACCGCTGCTCTAACTGTAGTAGCCTAGGCAGCTATAATGCTGAAACTAACTGTTGATTTATTGCAAACAAGGGATGAAGTTAAACCTTGCCAGGTTCTTCACCAACACTATAGCATGCCTTAGTGAATTATAATATAATAATAATAATCCAATTTAGGTTGAATATGCCCCTCCAGAAACCTCAGAAAGCAATGGAATTTTTTGATTGATTGGGACAAAGAACCAGAAGTGCAACAATAGAAAGGAAAACTATTCTAACAAAAAAAAATCCTCCTGTTTCTCTGCACTTGCCCTAATCTTCATAAAGAAATAAACTATTGTATGAGTGGAAACCCCTTGATAGCAAACTTCTTTATTTCTCTCCTGGAAGGCTGGTATAATGGGGCTCCTGGGCAAAATCTGTTACAGTACAGAGCACCAATTAGGTGGATTGTGTGCTTAGATAATGTTGATGATTTAATGAAAATGACTTGCTTTCAGGTAAAGTTGATCAAGGTGAGATAATATGTTAGTTTCAGTACCACTCTGCTTGCTCTGTTCTGATATACTGTAAGTTTCATCCAGTTATTAAAGAACATTGGAGCAAAACCTGATGAACAAATAGTGACTATAAAATACACAAACAATATCACTGAAAAGCAAAAGCTACTGTCAAAGAATTAAAAAATAGGGTTGAAAGAAAACAGTGGTATGAAGAACAGAGTTGGTTAGTTCTTGTGTTACATAAATGAATTACTACATTTTATTTGGATATACTGTACACGTTTGAGTCCTTTTATGTATATCATGATACTTTTATTCTTATTCTTATGTATTCACAATATTTATGAACCATGAGGATTTAAACCTTCTGCTCACTTCTTCTCAATTAATTCTCAATTAATTCTGACCTAACACTAATGTGTCACATATCCACTTGTCTGCAATCCATACAGTTGCCACTAGTCTCCACTTCTACATATTTAAATTCAACCCTTTTTACCACAAAAGGATTTCAACAACTCAATATTTTTTTAACTATAACCTCATTTGGATCACAACAAATGCAAGCTAAGGACTATATCTCCAAGCCTGTAGACAGACCTATTTCTAGCTCATTATCAGACTTGGACAGAAATTCTGTTCCCTTCCCCCCACATTCACCCCTATGGTCATCATTTGTCATGCAGTGAAATAACCTGCATAAAACCTAGCTAATTAAATCTTCTTTATTTTCTACTTCAGATCCAGGTATATGACATAAAAGCAAGTAAAATCTTCATTGCTCATGTTGGGTAGAATATTGTACAAATTGGGTGAGAGGCTGAAGGAAAAGACAGAGGTAAATTTTGTTCCGCTATGATATCATGTAAGTTATATATTTATATCAGCTGCAAGCCTGAATATTTGAATTGGAAAAATACCTTTTAATTAGTTGAGTTCCATCAGCCACAAATGAAATTATTTGTTCACTCACTGGAATGTTTTGTGGAATCTGTCAAGAATGTCTGTTGTCTCCTTTTACATTTAATTTAAATTTGGAACTTCTGACTTGTTTGATTCAAAAGCTGAAGGGTATCTCGTGCAATAAGTGGGTGGGTAAACATAAATTGTTTTTAGATGCTGTTATACTTTTTAAAAAAATTATTAAAGTTCTCTATCAAAATTGATGGATGTAGTATATTTTGGTAAGTTATCAAGCTATTCAATTAAGTGGAATAATTCTATTATATGTCCAATAGAATCTAATGTACCGATTGAAAGATATAAAAATTGGGACCTCATATAAAGTTTGTATTTTTTTAAGAATCTTGGAATTATTGTTTCTAGGAAGATCTGCAGGTCAGTAAAAGTATGTATTTCAAAATGTTTACCTCAAATTATTATTGATATTAACAAATGATTAAATGCTTTAATGGGAAAAAAATAAAGTATGATTAAATGAATATCTATTTTTAGAGGTATGTGGATGTTAAATCTGCTTGGGTATTTTAAACAGATGAAAACGTTTATATTGGACTGAAAGTTTCACCAGTTTTATCAAAATAACAACTTTCTTATAGTGAGAGAGTTTTGATTTTCAGATTTAGTGCTTTATCACTGATATATATTTTCATATCTATTTGAGGTTATTTTTTTCTAAAGCCTTCATGGACACATCTTTATTACTGTTTGCTTTCCTTGGTATCTTGGCAGGGGTTTGGATCTATTTTTATTCTGTATCTCTATCTATGAAAGGAAATATTTCCCATTAAAGACTGCAAGATATATTTGGAATATATTGAGAAGAAAGATTTTATTTCTAATCTTGTAATTGACAACTGGGACAATTTGGGATTGAGGGGTGTAGCCAAGACATCATATTGATAACTTAGCTAAACTTATTTTCTAACAACCTTATAAAGCATTTCAAGGAAGAACTTAAAAACTGATGAATGGAAATATATCCAATTAAAATATTTTTGATTAACTGATTAATTGAATGCACTAGCACCATCTGAAACTCCTAAATAATTATTATTATGGTTGGTCATCATTATTATATTGTTAGTATTTATTAACCTAATAATATTAAATTTTTAATTACTCATTAAATTATATTACTATTGAAGGAATATGTAAGATTCTAAAGCTATTTTAATTGACAGGATTATTGTAACAACGAAAGAAAACTGAGTTTTAATATTTATGTAAATCGATTATGTTAATTTTAAACGACATATGTGTCTGTGTGTCTGCATGCCTCTTGATCTTCAAACACTTTTCATTCAACCAAAAATATATATTTGCAATGTACTAAACACTTAAGATATTTAGTAAAGACTGGATGTCAACATTAAAATGTTGAAAATTTGAAATTTGAAATAGTGGAAAGGATTTTAATTTCACATTTTGAGCCTATCCCATCAAAGTTCCATTTTGGTTTAATGTAATTCATTTTCTCAATTCAACGCTGAGAAGAGGAAATAAGATATAAAGAAGTTAGTGTAATGTTGAACTATATACCAGATATTTGGAACTTAATGATGTATGAAGAATCTAGATTTCCAGTGGACTGTAATTAAAATCACTGCATTCTTTACTGGAATGACTCTGTTAAACTAGATCTTAAATCTCAGATTGTTGATCTGTGTTTATTTTTTATCTGTCAATTGGTTTCATATCAATTAGAGGAAAATTTACCAATTATTTTCTGTATAGTCAAGGTATAATTTGTTTCTTAGAAACTCAATTCATTTTATTTTTAAATCCATAATCTAATATATATTATTAATTGATATTATCTATGTATTTTTCCTTTTTGTTTTTTATATTTCAGTATCTTTTTGTTTTTGTATCTTTTTATTATATTAAGAGACATAAAATACTTTATTTACAAAATAAATGTTCAGTGTTCTACAAACAATATAAAATAAGAAATTAATATTAAAAAATAAAAATAAATAATTAAAAAGTAAAAATACAAACAGTAGAAGCTAAAAATGCTACTGCAAATTAGAGTACCGTAAATACCTATCAAAACAACTAAAAAAAACTATTAAACCAAAAAAAAATTCAGTAACATTTGCTGTATTGATAAATAATCTTCCCCTTCCTGAGTAGTGGATTAAATAGAATAGGCACAGTGAAGAAAATTGTGGGGTATTTGTTTGTTTGTTTCTTTTGAACAAGGAGGATACAGATGGCATGAGACTGTTATACCCACTGAACAAAATTAGTTCATGCAGAGAATTTGTATTGCAACCCATTCAGTGTATTAAAATAGGAAACTACAGGAAAAGATCGTTCCTGTTCAGCAAAGATGGGGGTAGAAAACTGGACTGGATCAATTCACATGCTGTCTTCCAGGCAGCAAAATGATCTCTATAGACAGGCAAGGACATATTCCCATGGTTCTTCCCCCAGTGCTGCAACCACTAAGTTCATGCAGCTCTCTGGGAATTTGTAATTTAATTTGCCTGGAAAGTCTTCAAGCAATGGCTCCAGAGGAGCTGGCTTCACTCTTCCCTCATTCTAGAGGGTAAAGATGTAATAAAGCTTCAGACAGCCTCTGTTCAAACAGACCAATAAAGTCTTCATTCCACAACTCCATTGCTACTCAAGAAAGAAAGAATATAGCAATACAGTCACCGTTCCACACAAAAAATGGCAGTAAGGAGTCACCAAGAGCAGTAGAGCTTTCTTTTAGCCAAAGATATCTGTTTGGTCCCTTCCGCCTTTCCCATTCAGATAGATTTTTTTTCACAGATAGGGACATATTTCTTTCATATATTTTTTTTGGCTGGGTCAAACCACAAAGAAGTCAGTGTTTCAATTTGGTGTTGCTAGGCTTTGGGGGAACTTTGCTTCTTAACAAGGTGCTTTAAAAATTTAAAGGCATAATTTCTGATGCCCTGATAAGCTTTGTGGACTGCACATGGTCTCTAAAGCATTAATTGTTCATCTCTATTGCAATTACAACAAAGTTATTTTTGTTGCTAAGGTGTATCTCACAAATACAAAGCAATTATTCATAGAAATAATAAACAGGTAGAACATCTATATAGAATACAAGCTACTGAGGTCTCTGAATACCTTCAGGTTTCATTTTATTTTTTAAAAAAAACTAGCATTTCTTACATTCATATTTATACCGCAAACCATAAACAGTATATCATCACAAGCACGACTTGTGACATACATGCTTTTTAAAGTATCTAGTTATCTTACCTGTCACAATAGGATATGATTGTGGTCCTGGGACACTGGCACCTATATCTGTTGATGTAGGGCTTGTTAAATTGGCCTTCATATCGTCTAATCCACCAGCTAGTGATGTCATGGCTGAATATTCTGTTGACTGAGTTCAAAGAAAAATGAGATAATTGAGTAACATTTTCCATATATTAAATTCTAATATATGATAAAACCAAGCTAAGTGCTTCATTCCTATATTGGCAGTGATGGCCTTAGTGGGATGATAATGGTGATAATAGTGATTTTATACCTGAAGACTGATTTTTACTGTTCAGATGCAGCGTGAAATAAAACAGTTTCAAACTATGATGAGATATTGTGCCAACATGAATCCTGCAAGCTTCAGTATTGTGTTAACCAAAAAAATATTAGTTTCTCAGATTATTTGGTGGACAAATCACCAGCACTTCCTAATGTGAATCACAAGGTAATCTCAAAAAATACATCTAATTATTGGGAAGAGAGCATGGGAAACTCTGCAACACTCCCACAAGCTTGAAGGTACTGATAATTTCTTTCTGTAAAAACCATGAATTATTAAGCATGACAATAATATTGTTTGCTTTGTTTCATAATGCACTAGCAGAAGTTTTTTTTTTTTAAAAAAAAAGTTTTTAACTGCAATGCATCCTCTGCTGGAGCGTCCATTACAGAATTTCCATTTAACATGTTCCCAAAACAAGAAAAGTATTGTGAGACATGAACACTTTAATCTTAGAATATGTCCCCATTATAAAGCATTAAAATAAAATTGCATTTTGCAATCAGGTTGCATCTCACTAGTATACAAAAATTGATAAATATGAAATCATTCCTTCAAATAACGAACAGGTGGCAGTCTATTGCCAAGTAGAAAATTAATATTACAATTAGTAAAGAAATTATCAAGCCAACTATTATACATGACTGTAACAATTATAAAGCAATACATAGACTGTCCTGTTTACCTGACCTTTCGGTTAATGGTTTGTGTTGCATTAATTATGTTTGCTTTGGCTATAGTTACAGTTGTTTCTTGTGATTTATTGGTTGCAGATATCAGTCTGGTTTTTTAACTGTGCTTTGGGTATGTCTGTATTTAAGCAATAACCTTAAGGATGTGCCACTGCTGTATTTTTGTTTTATCTTCTCATGCAGGACAGCAGCATAAAATATTTAAATAAGTATAAAATAGCTCAGAGAAAAAGCTAACAAGCTCCTCCTGTGCAAGGCAGCATTGAAATAAACCGTCTCTGTTTAAAATGACATAGATGTGCATTCCCTTGCATTTTTCCTTGGAAATTAAACTCCCTTATTTCATAGGGACATTAAAAGAAAAATGGTGCTATTTATATATACTTAGGGGTATATAGCAGTGATGCATTATCTCTGGACTTTCATCCCAAAATGCCCACTCTGTCCAGGGGGAAAGATACTGTAGAACAGGGGTGTCAAACTGCCGGCCCACGGACCGGTTGCATCATGCAAAGGCTGTGCCCACCCCAGCTCCGGCAATGCAAAAAAAAGTCACAATATGTTGCGACACGTCACGAGTTTGACACCCGTGCTGTAGAACAATCCCGTCTTTCATAATTCCGTGTTTTATTTTCATTGCGATTTCTTTAAAAATGCATTAATGATTTGTAACACTTCAGTTTTTTATTCGGGGTAAATTGGAACCACCAATGTGCAGTTGATACTTTGGCCAGACTGCTTTAATGACCACTTATTACCCACAGAGCATAAAACAAAATGCTCTTAGCATTTGTAGGATTGTTCTCTTCAGAAATGTAGTTTTAAAATAAATAAAGATAACAAGCCTATCCATTTATTTGTTAATAAGAATGCATGCTTTGTATATTATTTGTAAATGGATACAATTCTTTTGCAATTATTGAGGTGAATCCTGACTCCAGGTGATGTGGGCAATTTTGGACATGTTTTGTTTCTTTGTTTTGTTTTGTCTTATTCACTGAAGGCATGTCAGATCTCCCAAATCAAAATTCGATGATCAGTTTGTCTTCCAGCTCTCCATTGTACTATAAATGCAGCTGTAGCCCAACAGGGGACATAATCAGATTTTTTTCTGTTTGTTGCTATAAAATAGCCTGTTGCAATCCAGCTTTTTCGATACAAGTAATCCTCAACTTACAACCATTCATTTAGTGACCGTTCAAAGTTACAACAGCACTGAAAAAAATGACCATTTTTCACACTTATGATAGCTGCACCATCCCCATTGTCATGTGATCAAAATTCAGACACTTGGCAACTGACATGTATTTATGATAGTTGAACTGCCCTGAGGTTCTGACAAGCAAAGTCAATGGGGAAACCAGATTCACTGATCAACTGTATTTAATAACTGCAGTGATTCACTTAACTATAGCAAGAAAGGTGGGGCAAAATTCACAATAATTCTCTTGCTTTGCAACGGAAAGGTTGGACTCAGTTGTGGTCATAAGTCAAGGACTACCTGTTATATTGAAAGATCATGGAAGCAGGACCTCTTGGGCATAAGCAAGCTGCTGGATATACTAATAACAGGCAGAGCAGGGGAGAGCAGGCCTCAGGAAAATAAATTGCACAAAAGATTACTGGAACATGGTAAAAGTATTTAAGTGATTTAGGAGTCAAAATACAGAAAAGAAAGAACAATATAAGACACTCACAATAAGAAATTGGGAAGTCAGATTAAACCTTGAAATCCAACTTGAAATACAAGAGGGGTAGCAAGTGTATAAAGAACAGTTCTGAGGAGAAAGAAATTCTCTCCCATCTTTGCTTATGGAAATAGCCAGGCTGGTCTACTTTTTCTAAAGATTTGGAACAGGTCTCTCACAGTGATTCAATACAGGAGTATGTTGGGCTTAAGGTTGTCTATTCAGAGAAATTATGAATTTATGCAGAGAAATTATGAATGAAGGCAAATATATGTGTCCCAGGATAATGTTGCTATCATGATAATGATAGTGTTAATGTTGATAAATTATGGATTGTTGGCTCTCTAGGAGATAAAGGAGAGAGAATAGATATGTAGAGCTACAGAGAAGAAACACATGTCCCTGAGGCAGATAAGGATATGTATATGTATTTTTAATAATTTAAAGAAAATTCTCCTAGCAAGACAAGGTGCACATGCTTACCTGCCCATCATGCTATTTCTTTCTGGAGTAAGCAAGTATATGCAATGCACAGAAAAGGAGTGAGAAATAATGTAAAGATTGAAATAGGAAAAAATCCCAAGAGCAAACATGGGTAAAACTAGTTTGCACCAATTGTTATATCTTTCCATACTTTTCCATTCCGGCAAGCTAACCTTCCTCCATACAGCACTTCGTACACTGCCTTTTGTTCTTGAACTCTCTTTATTTTTGTGGACTTTGTCAACTCTGTTCAACCTCTAGTTTCTTGGTCTCCTCCCCTTCCTTTGAGCCCATTCAATCTTCCTTCAAATATCTGTTTTGCAATGCTAGCCTCGTCCATCTGTATGACTAAATCACCTTAGTGTATCGGTACACTCACTTTTGCATTTAATTCACATTTCATCCAGCATCCAAACATTCTTGATTCTCTCACTTCTTGATTTGCACTCACTGTTCCTATGTTACCAATTCTTGCCGCATTTAAATTGCTTGTATGTTTTGCCTGGCATAACCAAGTCTCATTTCCACAGAACCAATTGGGCAGAAGCTTACTCTTTCAACATTCATTTCTCCCAGCAGATGATATCTACCCACCAGCTTTCTTCCACCAGCACTGGCATAATTTAAAAATTCTCCATCCATTTTCCTATCTTTAGTAAACATTCTATTGAGGTATGTAAACACAAATTTACTTCCTCTAGTTTTTGTCATTTATGTATAACTCGTATTCCTTCACCTTTCTCCCTGTTTAACCTGTCTATCTAACTCTTTGCTACATCAATTTTCAGATCCATACTTCACTTTGCACCATCAGTCTAACATTCCTTGCAGATTATTCTGCTTCTCAGCCAGCAATCAGCCATCATCTTTATGTGCCCTAACCAAAATACTTCTTATATCACTACAAATATTCCATATACATTTCTCCATAAATAGATTAACAACAAGGGGACATCATATATGCTTGTCTTTCTCCCTAATCAATGCTGAATCATTTGTTCACCATTCTATTTATTCCCATTTATGTTTTACTTCCATCCTTTTCTATTCCACTAGCATTCAGCCATCAAATTTCAACTCTGTAGTTGGTGAAAACATTCCATAATTTAAATTTATTCATTTCAGTTCTTTTGTTTAACCAATATTCAGCAAAAAAAAATTTCATTCATATGTTCTCAATGTCTTGTTGAAGAGCACAAACTGGTCTGACATAAAGCTGTACTGTACTTCCCAGATTTTTTTTCCACTTCTTGGACACTTTTAGTCAGATTTTAGTCAAACACATAACCAGGCACACTAATCCCCTTGTAGATTTTGTATTCATTCTTTCAACATTTCTCCTTGGTAAAAGGGAACAATAAGAGAATTCTTCCCATATTTCCCATACTTAGGCAACATTTGTAGAATTTGTTTCAGCTCTACTTTTCAACGTATCAGCATATACAGGTAGTCCTCAAATTACAACCTCATTTGAGCCCAATTTTTTTGTTGCTAAACAAGACATTTGTTAAGTGAATTTTGCCCCATTTTATGCCACAGTTGTTAGGTGAAACACTGCAGCTGTTAAGTTAGTAGCACAGTCGTTAAGCAAATCTGGGTTCCCCATTGACTTTGCTTCTCAGAAGTTTACAAAAGTTAATCACATGGCCCCAGGTCACTGCAATCGTCATAAATATGAGTCACTTGCTACTTTGATCACATGACCATGGGGACACTGCAAGGGTCATAAATATGAAAAATGGTCGTAAGTCACTTCTTCAGTGCGGTTGTAAGTTTGAATGATACCAAAGAATTGTTGTAAGTCGAGGACTATCTATACAACATTGAGTCATTGGAAGTCAAGTGGCTTAATATATGATTATGATTATATCACTGTCATTCCTATTCCAACCTCTAAAATAATCGTTCTAGCAGTTCCTCAATTCAGTTTCCTCCCATATCTTTTCATCATTTTTCCTTTTAAATTCCACTCAGTTTG